TCGCGTGTGCCTGTGTGGGCTGGCGCATGCGTGGACTCGGTGCTCGGGGGATCCATTGGCAGGATCCCGGTCGCCCCGTGTGTCGGTCTGGAATCCGTCCGAGGCCGCACCCGACCCCGGCCTCCCGGGCGCCGCCCCCCTTTTCTCGGCCCCCGGCCTCGCAGGACGGGGGGGCGAGGGAGACACATGCCCCGGCCCGGCCGGCTGTTCGGCTTTTCGGCGCCTCGGAAGGCCGGACTGGCGCCTTCGGCTGGATCTTCCCGGGGACCGCCACGGGAATGCCCAATTAAAGCCTCCGATGAGGGCACGGGCCCAGTATCACTTCCATACTCCGGGGGTGCGGGTGTGTGTGTGTGTGTGTGTATGTGTGTGTGTGTGTGTGTATGTGTGTGTGTGTGTGTGGGGGGGGGGGGCTGTGGCAGCGGTCGGGGGGCCTTCCAGCACTTGAACCCCGCAGGCATGTGCGCCTGCGCGATCGCCCCGCTGGTCCCCCGCCTGCCCAGCCAGCGAGACAGCGGGAACAACGGGGACGGTTTGGGATGGATTCCCCCCCGCCGAAAAGGTCTTGCCTGCCATGGGCCCTCCCCCGCCCGGCGGCCCCCCCGAGGGAGCCTTCAAAGTTGAGCACCGCGATGCCTCATGCCGACCCATGTCCACACACCACTCCTCGGCCCCTTCCTCCCCCGCCCCCTCCCCTCCCGCGGGGAGTTGGGATCAATTAAACGTCCTCCCGCGGGGGGGGGGGGGGGGGGGGGGGGAGGGAAGGTGAACCGACGACGCCGGCGCGCGCTCGCCGCGTCTACCTGGCCGCCGTGCGACCTGTGGCACAGGCGCCTTTTCCTGCTTTCCACCCCGGGCGCCCTCCCGGCTCGGCCTGCCCCACCGCGCTTGTTGCTCCCCCTATCTCCCTCGGCCCCCCTCTCGCTCGCTCACTCGCTGTTCCTTTGTGTTTTAGGGCGGTAGGTCTTGCAACTTTCACATAGCCGTTCTGGACCGCCGATTACCGAACACCCGGGGCTGGGCGGGCGCGGGCGGGGACGGGCGAGAAACGGCCGCTGACCCCCCCCCCCCCCCCCCCCC